GATTCTGAGATTAAATACAGGATTCTGAGATTAAAGTCCGAATTCTGAGAAAAAAGTCAAAATTCTGACTTTTTTCTCATGTTATACTGAAATAAAATTAAAAAATCAGTTAACTTTCTTTTTTTTTTCAGTAGCCCTAATGCTCTTCCGTATGTAACAGCAATGAGGATTCTTTAAGTTTATAGTTTCAAATAAGAAGGCTCAGTCTGAAAGACTATCACAGAGACTCTTACAAAGTACAGAAAATAAAATGCCACTTATACACAGTAATAACTGTCATATTTTAAATTAAATATTAATTTGCTTTTTTAGGGACAAGTAAATAACAGTGCACCTTGATCAATGCAGGAGCGTTTTTTGCTAACTTCAGTCTGTATCAATCCTGGAGGGGTTACAGCTGATTAACTGAATAATGATGGTAAGAAAAACACAAACACATTACTATAAATTAATAGAAACTAAATTTTTATTTATTAATGCATGTGAATATTATCAATCATCCAAGTCCCAGTAATTAGCATACAAGGGTTCCAGCTTTCCCGCATCCATAACCAGTTTGGGAGCTGCTGCATTTATGTCAAGGAGTCACATCCAAATTCAAATAAAGACCAACCATTCCCCCAGGTCATTTGATGTCAGTTGTTGTCTGTTTCACCTGAATCCTGATTGGATAATTTTTGTAATTTCTTTGGAATGAGTTTTAATGCAGGTTAATAAATGCTGGAAAACTGACTGGAATGATTGAGATTATACCTTCAGGCATGAATAAATTACATTTCCTAACAGCTGTGATACAGAAACTAATAATAAAAAAAAATGAATTTGACTGTTCTCCAAGAGTCACGCTGACTTTAGCTGGTAAGAAAAAAAAAGATGAAAGACATTAATTGAAAGCAGAGGCTTGTCAGGATCTGCGACCAGACACCATTTATGCCCACAGCCATTTAACCCGTTTCATTTCACTTTGGGATTACCGGTAATGTTTTTTTTTTTTTTTAACTGAATTGTATATAATAGTGAGAGTCTAAATATAATATAAATTACATCCAACAGCATGCTAGATCACCTTACTTTCACATACAAAGAAAAATATGCAGGATTCTCCACTGTAAATGTAAAATTGTGATCTCATGGTCTTTGGAAAAAATGTCGGAGCTCTTTCAGATTGAATCGATAACTTCTCACTTTTCCATTTAACCTTTCCATCAGATCATAGCCGGTATCTTGTTCCCGCTGCTGAAAAGCATCTCCAAAGCATGCTGCTCACAACATGGTTCACCATGGAAAGATTTTGTACATGCCCTTGTATATTATTATTTAATTTTGCTTGTGGAAAATAGTTTGGATTCATTTGAAAGGAGCACCATCTTCACATCTCTGACACATCCACTATGTTATAACAAAACCAGATAAGTCTGTGTTTGATAGTTCTGTTGACAGATTCTCATACCTGAGTTGTGAATCTCCACGGGTTAACCGGACTGGTTCTCTAATAAACGCTCATTGTTGTAAAGCCCATCAGTTTAGGTGGATAACAATGTCTTGGTAGGATTATGGTTATACTTCACTAGTATTTTCAGACAACGGACTAAAGGTTCTCCACATCTTTATCTCCAACATGTCAGGCACTTTTATTGCACTTTGTAGTTTGCTCACTAATTTTCACAAATCTGAGGGTTTGACTTCAACAGTTTGACTGAGGTTAAATTAAATTGAATCCTTTCTACACCTCCCCTATTTCTATTTGTGTAATGCTTTGAAAAACATGGATCATCTTCCTTTTCCGTCATAATGAACATTATTTTATCCATAAAATCTCAAAGTGAAACATGTAGTTAAAACAATAAGCAAAAAAAACCCCATAAAAAGTAAAGATTGTGCAATGTAGTGTAATTTGTATGAACATGGTTATTTGTTTTATTTTTTGTACAGATGTGGGACATTTCATGAGCTTAGATTTTTTTTTTATTTTGAAGCAGTAAGACAATTTTTCATAAGGCAGTCTTATCAGAGCATTTTATGGGTTTCTGTGTAATAAAACCAAGGTGATAGATCACACAGTTTGGTTGTTTGTGACGTCAGAAGAAGGCTGTGCTGCCCAAAACTTAGATTAATATAAAAACACACATATCAGCTTATTTATTTTGCTGAATACATTCTTTTTTTTCAGGTCAACAACTGGTTGTCATTTTTAATATTTTTTTTGTTATAAATTTATTTAATTTTACAATTCCCTAGTAATTAACCAAAGCAGTTACTACGGTGACTTAGGTTGGTCTATTTTCATCTATTGTGATGTCTGAAGAAGGCTGCATGAACACGACTATAAAGCTGCAACCGTGAAACATTTTCTCTTTCAAAATGGCTGCATGAACCTGTTATTAATTACTTTATTGGTCTAAAAAGAAAAATACCAGCGAAACAAGTTACTGTAAAGCAGTTCTAAAAGAAATTAAATGTGCAAAAGTTTAAAAAGAACATACATTCAGTGACAAGTGCTGTGACTCCTGACAAACAGCATAGATAATCCATTCACTTGTATGATACAAAAAAAACCCAGTGGAAACTCATAACTGAAGATAAAAAAAATACTTCCAATGATGATTCACTGCAACTTTAAAAGTGGTGTTATAATATTTAAGTGTCCATGTCAGGAATCATGTCTTTTTTAAATGGTCCAATAACTTAGCTAAAATAATCTGATTCACAGTGACAGAAAAACTTAGATTAGATTCAAGTAAATCACTGAAATTCTAATAAAAAAAAAAACAAACTAATACAATACATTTCCAGTGATGTGTGCAGGGAAAACAAAAAAGTTTTAAAAAATTTAAATGTTGCATGCATAGTGCATGCACTTAGAACAGCTAATAAAAAAAAAAAAAAAAAACACTCTTCAAAATAAGAGAAGATGGTTTGGCCCAGCAGATTAAGGGCCTACAAACAGTAATAGAAGTACAGTTTATAGAGCAAGATATTGATGATTAAGAACAGAGTTTGTTAGGCTTCTTCCAAATTTGCTTGGATTTACATTACATCAGATGTGCTGAAATAAACTGTAATAAAACACAAAAATGCTCACGAAATGAATGCAGGATTCCCATCTTGAAAGTAATATCACATTTTCTGCATGTACAATATTTCATTAAAAAAAAAGTACAAACAGATTAAAACAAAAGAGGAGATCTGAAAATCCAGCAGTAACTAATGCATAAAATATCCTGAACTAACAGTAACATAGACCAACATTATCTAGAATGAATGGCGGCAGAGCAACAGTTATACAAGTTATAACTTATGTTGCTTTAAGGAGGCCCTGTAATAACTTGTATGTTTAAAGCCAAGTTATACAAACCAGTGTAAGTGGATACAGTCGATTGATAGAAACGTTGTTGTTGTTTTTAGGTGAATTGAAGTTTGGAATGGGTGACTGAAAAAAAAAATCATCTGAGCATCCTGGTTTACAGTGAGGATGTATCTCTGGCCATGAGCTGTGAGCCACTGTTAACCTGGAAGCGAGTTTCCTCAGATATTCCATATTGCTCCAAAGGATCCTGTTTGGGAAACAGACTGTGAATACAGGACAGGCTAATAACTTTTATTACTGAGAAAAACAAATTATTTACCAAAACAGTAAAGACGAGAACATTTAAAAGCAGAGTTTGACTGTTTTTTAAGGCTGATATCGCTCATTTTCACATTAGTCTAACTAGTCCTCAATATGTGTTTTAGCCACTTTTTCAAGTTGGTGTTACTTTTTCTTCCTCCATTTACATGTAAAGACAACACAATAATAAATGTTTCAAAAGTCTAAATGTAAACAAAAAGGAAACATGTATAAACTATCAAACACAACATTAACAATAAATTACAAACGGAAATATTGCAAGGTACGACTGCTGAATGCACTAATCAATCGATGAAGGCATGCACACATCATACGAACCTTCTGCGGGCCAAAATATTGGTCTATTTCTACTTAAACCATTTTAACAATTTTTTTTTTCCTGTTTGCAGTTCTGACAGTTTGTATGTCATTAAATTAGTGCCATATGTAGTGCCTTAAAATCTTTATTTATAAAATGTTTCTTTTGTGTCTGCATCTTTTTGATGGGGAGAAATAACCTGCTATGCTTGGCTTTTATTATACGCAAGCAAAAATATATAGATGTTTCTTCAACTTGCAGAACTTTCTACACTTGAGGCCAAGTCCCACTCTTTCTAAAATTCAGAAAAAAGGCACTTTTGTTTGCACCCATACTGCTTTAAAGACAACTATTGTAACAACTTTCAAAGTTTCAGGGAAATGCTCCAAGATTAAATGTAAAGCTCTGTATGTTCCTACATTTAATCAGATGATTGTCTTTGAAGATGCATTTCCAATAGAACATACCTTACCATACTTTGACATGGATATGAATGCAAAAAATAGTAATAGTAAGAAGAACGTAGATGACATGGTGAATAGAGATAAAAAGGAATGTAGAGAAGGAAAATGGAAAGAAACAAAATAATTACTGTTCCATGAGAAATATGAGGATGAGGAACAGAAGAGAGATGGTAAAAGAAGAAAGGAGGAAGATAATAGTTACTGGAATGAGAAAAAGATTTTGAAAGATGAGGTGAATGAGAGGAAGATGAAGATCATCGGTGGTTGAGTATCCTACCTTTCCGGTCAGTCTGTGGATTTCAGTTCTATAGAATATAAGGTTCCTCCTCATGAACTCGTAGCTGCAACAAAAGACATATCAATTAGCTGATTATATTAGAGCTTTAAACTATAATAGTTTCAAAACAAATATTAAAAAAAACTCATATGAAGCTTAGTAATAGGATCATCCAGAATTATGTAAACCACAACTGTATAATGTTAAAATGAAGAGGTGTAAGCCCTACCTTGCTTTGATAATGGAGTCTATCCACTCCTTACATTGCTCTTCAGAGTCGCACTCGAACAAATATTTCCTCTCCGCATCATCTAGAAATGCTGGGAGAAGAACATCCACCGGGTTTATAATGCACTCAAAATATAAAGGAGTTATGGTTATTAGACTTTGCTCATATGTGGATGTTAGCAGAACAGAACCGTTAAATTCAACGGAACAGACCACAAAGACACTGAATATATCCCATTCTACTATTTTTTTAAACAGTGGTATATTTAATTGCTGCTAAGTAATAGGCAACTTTTTCAGTGGTGTCAAAAGTACAAACATTCGTTACTGAAGTAGAAGTATAGATACTGCAGTTTAAAAACACTGGTAAAAGTTGAAGTATAAACTTGACCTCTTTACTAAAGTAAAAGTGAAAAAGTATGTGCTCCAAAAACTACTTAAAGTATAAAGTAAGCTTAAAAAAAAACAGCCAGATGCCAGATTTTTCGACTATTTCGAAAATTTCTTTAAAGGATGAGGGAGGTCCTGTTGGTCTTCATCTCCCGTTACGCTCTTGCCTGTGTCCGTCCTTTCAGACATGCATCTCATGCATGTCTGCTGCTCTGTCATGTCTGCTTGCTCCAGTAAGGCTTCACTTTTTCACTTTTCACAAAACAAGTTTGTACTTTTTACACAGCTTTGTTCACATCTCAAGTTTAAACTGTCTTATTTAGAAGTTTGCATTTTGTGTTTAATATAATATTTTAAAACATAGTTGAACAACTTTCATTGTTGTAAAAACCGATCGTATTGAAATTAATCGATTTAGAACCTTATGAATCAAAAGTGAATCGATTCAGGACTTAGGCGAAAATACCCAGCCCTAGCCAACACTGAATGTAAATAAACAGGTTTTTATTATTATTATTATTATTATCATCTCAGAACAAGTTATTATTGCTTTTGCAAATACTGAATTATTGCATTTACAGTTCTTTGTAAAAAAAAAAAAAAAAAGTTTACACATTTCTAAGGATATAAAATCTCATCCTTACATTAAGAAATTAAAATTATTATTTCAACCGAAGCAAACAAAGTTTGGCTGTAATGTCTGATGTCCTTTCCTGGACTGAGTGTAAATCTGTGTTTCTGTCAGTATCTCACCAACAGAGAAGATCTGAGTGTCCTCTCTCTCTACACGACACTGTTCCAACAGCAAAGCCCCAACTGGCTGCAGATTAAACAAACAATTAATACACATGAAACTGATCAAACTGTCTCCCAAAGTGAGAGCTTATAGCTGATATGTCAAAAAAGAGGAAATGTCAACTCCAACTGACCTCCTCTTCATCAGTCCGGAAGTAAAACAGAAAGTTAACTACGAGTTTCACCAGCCTCCTCTTGACAACTATACATGAAAAATACACACACGAGAAAACACCCTGTCAAACTGTACAATTAAAATGGAGCCAATGAGTGGCGAGAATTAAAACGGTAAAGGAGTAAACTAGAGGTAAAGTAGTGGAGTCAGGAGGAAAGCAGCGGTGTTTTACCGTCTCCTTTCTTGGGACCTCGCATTCCCAGTTCAGCTGCCATCTCTGACGGTTGGCGGCTCAAACAGACCAGCTCCTTCTCGTTGAAACGCATATCGATCAGTGAAGTGGGTGGAGGAGCTTTCTTTGGTTACGAGTGGGCCGTTTTACTCACTAAAAACATTTCACAAAAGTTATCTGATGAAAATGGCGAGGTGATGTCGGTATTTATCATGCCGAGTTCGATGCTTCCTTAAGGGATGTCCTCGCGCTGTGACGGACGAGTCATGTCTATAGAGTGGTTGTCTACTGTTGGCACACCGCCCCTTTAAGGTAGCTACACACCGGATTAAAAAAAAAAATCTCACTGCGCAGTGCATTTCTGGTCATTATTGGAGGTTGTAAAACAACCCGAAGGCCTCATTACCGCCATCTAGTGGGTTGATGTTTGTACAACATAAAATTAGAACGTCAACGTTCTAATATTTTATTTTGGAAAGTTTCAAATAAAACTGGAATTGAGAAAAAATTTCCACCAATACTTGTTTAAAATATGATAATTAATTTATAATATAATATAAATAATTATTTTTAATAATAAAAAAGGAAACATATTTTAAATTCCCTTTTAAATGTGTTAATATATGATTTTAATTTAAATTGTTAAGAAAACGCTTAACAATTTAAATCACTTCTTGAAATAAGACTTGTCATAAGTACAATGGCTCTCAAGTGCAAACCACATAGACAAATCTTTAAACAAAGATGCAAAATAAAAAAAACACAACAGAATATTGAAAACCAAAATAACATATTCCAAACACACAATAACATTAACTTAAAAAAACATGCAACATATTCAGAAACACAACAATTTATATAAAAAAAAAGATGGAAAAAATCCAACAACATACTCAAAAATGCAAAAAGCTGGAAGTCACTCTGCAATTTTTGTTTAAATGTTGAATGAGCAACCAAAAGCAGAATTACTTCAGGTTTAAAAGCTAAGTGGTGCCATCATCCAAACAGCGAGGTCTTAACTTTCCCACTAATATATATCCCTCTTTCAGTAGGTTAATGTCATTGTGTTTTTTTTTATATAGTTTGGTTTTGAATATGTTTATTTTTTTATTTATGTTCAGTTAAGGATTTGTTGATGTGGTTTGCACTTCAGGGCCAGAGTACTAAGGTCCAAGTTGGACTTAATGATAAAGACAGTCAAAGATGGTGGGAGTAAAATTACTATGTACACAGGTATAATCACATGGAGTGTCTGCAAGCTTAAATTTATTATTATGTTCAAAAACATATGGACATATTCTATTACTATGATTAATGTGTAAACATCCATCCATTCATCTGGTGTGAGGGGTGAAAACAGTTTCCACAAATTCTAAGGCAGGCTGCTGTTCATGTTCTGTTAATATAGTTTTAAAAAATTCATTTAATTTTGATCAGTCTTAAGAATTTCCCATTTAGATTGTATAAATGCAACACAAAAATAAAATAATTCAATATAATGTCAAATGAAACAAACAAAACACTAACAGGCTGCAATTTGCTCCCAGTCACTAGGCGGCGATATTTCAGTCATCCACTGTTAAAAACAGCTAACGTTAAGCTAGCTGGCAGGAGAGCTAGCTTAACACTTCTGCGAGCACCTCGCGTATACGTGGGTAAGTGCTTTTTTGCTTTTGTATCGTTATATATGTCGGTGATGTTTTATTCTGATGTATAATTTATTGATTATATAAATATAAATGTTTTGTTTTATTTCTAATATGAGCAGGGATGCTATTAGGCAAACGTTCCTCGTACGTGCTAACACTGTTAGCTTAGCATTGGGTTTCTTACAACGTAATCTCTAAACTACCAAACAGCGAAACATCTTTTGAAGGGGATCTTTCGGTGTGGGATTGTGCTAAATTAGTTTATATTTTTTATGTGCTATGATTGACATTTGCAAAATGTATTTGACGAATTTATTGCATTGAGACACGTGAACTGCTACCCTTAGTCACACCAACACTGTAGTTTTGTAGCAAACTAGCTCCTAAAATGCTAACTTCCCTCAGAAATCATATTTTTGCTTTGTACATGCTTTTCTATGCACGGGTTTAAGTATATATGGTGCAATGATCAGGGACCTTTGGGTGTGATTTAATATATATCTCTCTGATCACAAAAGTTTAAAAAGCTCTGATCTGACACCGACTTCTTTTGTAATTGTAATAAATTGATACTTGTGTTTTATGTAGGAAAGTATTCAGATTTTAAAGCTCAATTGAAAAGAAGATATTCTGAAATAGCATCAAAAGAACTTTCAAATAAAGGCAACAACATGTTAGCAGTTGAAAAGAGAAAAAAAGTAATATGAAAATTCATGTCAACATGATAGAACAATAGTCAAAATGCTAGTTCTCATCCAAAGTCCTTGGCCAGATGTGAAAAAAACCACACTACAAAGGGTATACAGTAAATTAATACATAGTGAAAACATTCAGGGCATGCATTTAACATATTTGTAGCAGAAGCAGCAAGACAGTAATAAGAAAAAACAAGCAGTATGAATGCATAACGGCACATTTGTTAGAATAGATGCAGCAGCAAGATAGAGGGTTATCAGCAATTCATTATAGACATAAACAATGTTAAAGAACACTTTTTAGTAAGGGCACATTTTAACATCCTAAAGCAGTAGTCATTAAACAAAAGAAAAACAGCAATGTAGAAATTGCACGAAAGAACATGCAAGTCAAGGAGGCAGCAGCTCAGTTCTGGCGGGTCAATCCCTCAAACTTATGTTGTAATGCCATTATATTATTTAAAGATAGAGGAGTCTAAATGAATACAAGCTATTTTCCTGAGCAGTATTATGCAGTCTTTTCTACATATTCCTCTTGCGAGGCAAAACAATCTTTCTTCTATCTTGTTTTTTTTTTTTTTACATGATTTAAAGGAAAGGGGCTGGGTCATCTGGTATTTGGGCATTTGATAGTGTTGGTGATGCCGAGCAAAATTATGGGATGTTTCAATAGAAGCAGAAAAGCAATTGTGGGACAGGTAGTCTCCATGTCAAAAGGGTAGGGAAATATATACTTGTCAATATCCTCAAAGAGCCATTAAATCAATATTGGTATCAAAATATTGAGTAGCCAAATTTGTATTTCAGTGCATCTCTGTAATATTCTATATTAACCAGTCTGCCTTGTTGTTTGTTTTTTTCCTTATAAGTAAAAACAGGAGTCTTTCCAGTTTTGACTGGAGGTGTTCTGTCCAAGTGGTTGAGTCCATCCAGTCACAAAGATGGATTTCCAGCACCGAGCAGGAGGGAAAACAGGCAGCGGTGGGGTGGCCTCTTCGTCTGAGAGCAACCGTGACAGGCGGGAGCGCTTACGTCAGTTGGCCCTGGAGACCATCGACATTAACAAAGACCCCTATTTTATGAAGAATCATTTAGGATCATATGAGTGCAAACTCTGTCTGACACTTCACAACAATGAGGTAAGAAGGCACGGGCTCAACCAGCTCATGTGGTGTTTTAGATTTAAAGTTATACTTCCAGATATCTCTGCAGGGTTCTTGTTTAAAAAACAAAAATGGCTAAAAGTTTCTCTCTTGTGTTACAGGGCAGCTACTTGGCTCACACACAAGGAAAGAAGCATCAGACTAACCTGTGAGCACCTCGCTTATATTTCTTATTGATTATATATATATATATATATTTCACATTTCAAGGATTTGATAGAATACATTTTACATTTTTGAAGGAGTGATCAGAAGGAGTTGTGTGGCCGCATAGTCTCCTATAACACAACATTAAACCTAATAACAGCATGCTACCCCATGTTCTACCTATCTATTTACTACTCTTTGAGTCTCTTATCCAGTATACTATATAAACAATGTATCATTTATCATTTTATTTGCTGTAGTCTATATTGAAGATCCTGTTTCTTTGCATAAAATTCTGTAATATAATAGTTGGCAGATTAACATGTTGATAACGATGGTTCTGTTGCTGTAGAACCTGTATTATTTTGTCTGTGAATCAGACACCAGTATGTTGCTGTTTAACTGAGGTTCACAGCAAAGGGTTTTTCAATTCATCTGTCCTCACCCAACATGTCGGGTTTGTCCTTTGACTTGTTAACCTTTTGCGTTTCAGAGCTCGGAGAGCAGCCAAAGAGGCGAAGGAAGCTCCTGCTCAGCCAGCCCCAGCCAAAGTAAAAGTTGAGGTCAAGAAGTTTGTCAAAATCGGTCGACCAGGATACAAAGGTAGGCCTTGTTGTGCCAGAAACAAATCAATTATGATTGGGTTTATCACGATTCTTTTATATTCTGTTAAGGTAATGATTTCTGTGTGCTTTGTCTCTTTATTCTTTTAGTGACAAAGCAGAGGGACCCAGAGATTGGTCAGCAGTCTTTACTGTTCCAGGTAAAAGCTAATATAAACAAATTGTGGATTCCTGAACTAAACCCCTTTTTTATGGGCTAAAAAGTATATGTTTAAAAATTGATCAAATATTTTCCATAGGAATATAGAAAAATGAGACATAGCTATCTGACCGGCTGAAAGAACCATACTTAATAAAGACTAAAGACGAATAAAACAGATAAGTTTGGCTGTTTTGAAATGTTTTCAGCGCTTAAAGAGCCAAATGAGCATCCAAACTAAAGTAGATATTATTAAAGCAAAATGTTTGTACATTTTTGGTTGGGAAGCTGCAAGTAGCAAATTTGTAAAATAGCCGACTGCAGATAATGGATCAAACTGCTTTATTAACTAATATATCCTTGTTAGATTAGGTTTGCTCTTTAAAGAGAAGAAAAAGCAAAAGTTCTAATATTCTTCCACAGTGTACATATATACCCAGCCCCAAATATATGTGTCTAGTTTACTCTGTATTTTATATTATATCTAAAACTATAATAACCAGTATTTGAATTTTGTTACTTTTAGTGATAAAAATGTTTTTAATTCTGTATCTTTGATAAAAAAGCATGGGATTTTTACATGAATACACAATACTGTGCTGAGTCTACTCATTAATATTTTACAATAAGACTTTTTTATTTGCTTGATTCCTAAAATGAAAATTGAGAAACATTTCTTTATCATGGCTTCTTCTGTTGAGTGTATGCTTAATAAAACACTCATCGGTCTGCACTTTTCTTCTGTCCAATAATTAATTAATCTGTTCACTAGTGATGGTCTAGCAACGCTGATACGTCGGCGTATGTGTTGAGCTAATAAAACAAAACCCTCTTTCAGTGTGCGTATCGTTTCAAGAAAGTCTGGTGACTGATACAGGAGCTGTTTCGAACTGACTCCCCAAACTGTGTAAATAAGCCCACCTGTCGACGGAACGCATCTGCCTAAAAAATCTCAATATCTAATTTTTAATTATCTCATGTCACCGTTCCTCTCAGTTATCACTCAAGTCATCTGTATTTAAATTGAATTCAAATGGACCCTTAGTTTACTGTACTTATGTTTTTTTAAATACTAGTCCACAAGCATCCTCATTCACATGTTCACCCAAATTTTCATGTTATGATATATGTTCACATTATGTATTTACTGCATCTAAAAATATATTTTTATATAAATGAAGATACAAAACAACACAATATAACTTATATTATATTATAACTCAAATTAGTGTCAGTTTAGTCTGTTCATTGGGCTGCATGTAGGGATTTTGAGAGTCCAGCTGGTATCAGTATTGAGTGACATAGTATCAATACAGTCTTATATGTTGAAACGCTTCACGGTGCCTTATCAACTCATCACTGCTGTTTACTGTTGAAATGAGAAAAGCTGCTTTCTGATCCAGGTGTCACGAACATTACTTCATCGCATTCGCAGCCAATCAGGTCCGACTCTGTGTGTGGGTAACCTTCACCTTTATGTTGTATCTGCCTTGATCAGATCGATTATCCGGAGATAGCAGAAGGAATCGGACCCAGGCACCGTTTCATGTCTGCTTATGAACAGCGCATTGAGCCTCCTGATCGTCGCTGGCAGTACCTGCTGTTCGCTGCTGAACCTTATGAAACTATTGCTTTCAAGGTAAGTGAATATTTCACTGTGTAAAGCCTGTATGTTTGTAATATTCTAAACCTGACGTTGTGCAGAAGACAAGTTCCTCCTTTCTTCATTCTGAGATGCTGTTTAGTTTTTTTCAGGCTTTAGCTTGATAGGAACATTTCTAGTAAATTTATAATGAACCTTTGTATTTATATTTTAAATACAATTGATAAAAAGATAAAACAGAAACAATGAAGTTTAGATACCATGTATGGAATTAGAAAATGTGTAGGAACTATTTCTATATACAAATGGCATCAACATTACATGAGATCTTTGCTTTTTCAGGTCCCCAGTAGGGAAATAGATAAGGCAGAAAACCGTTTCTGGACCCACTGGAACAAAGAAACTAAACAGGTTCTGATTTACAACCAGCCATGGAAATGTCTCTAATCTTATGGAAGTATGTGTTTACACAATGTGTTTTTTTTTTTTGTCTACAGTTTTTCTTGCAGTTCCACTTCAAAATGGAGAAGATGATCTCCCAGTCCAGCGGTCCACCACCTCCTGTTGGCATGAAGCACCAACCTCAACTCATGACAGGACCAGGATCCCGGCCACCAAATGACAGTCTGCCCCCACCACCAGGAGGGATGTCGGTCCCTCCTCATCCACCTGGGGCTCCGGGTGCCCCACAGATGCCCCCACAGATGCCCATGCCCCCCATGCCGATGAGGCCGCCACCTCCTGAAGGCCTAGGAATGTCTAACTAAGATTTTTTTTTTTTTTTTTTGCTTTCTCAAAAAAAGATCCAGTTTTTTCAGTCGATTCTTAGCAATTTTCCGGATCAGGCTGACATCTCCTAGTTTCATTTCCATCAACATCAGTCCATAATGTCAGCTGTAAACTTTTTTGAAAAACAATTTTTCTAAATAAATGCCACAAAAAGGTCTTCAGTTCTTTGTGCTTTTCTGTTGACATAACACTGAAAATATTACCTTTTAAGCTCAAAGTTTTTATAATATGAACTGTTCACATTTATGCTCTTTAGTAGCTCTTTTACCTAACATAACCAGTGTGGTATAACACTGAAAAACATCATTTATGTAATTCAGAAATTTCTTAGAATGAAATATAAGTCATCATTCATACTTATTATGGCTTAGATCTGATAAAAAAAATATAAGAATTATAACATATATAAAACTAATGGGAAGGTATGTACTCGATATAGAGCACCACTCTGAGTTGTGTTCTTGACTGTATTGCACCTTTCCTGTTTTTTAATCCTTATTTGTTCTCAATGCTTGGTTGCGGCTTTTTTTTTTCTTACTTCCTTAACCATAGTCTGACATTTTAGGTGATGGATCCGATTCTGAAGAAGTATTAAGAAAGGTTCTGCTGTTTTTGGAAATGTGAACATTTTCTCCTGCTGACAAATGAAACGTGCACCTTTGTTAAGCTTGTCACCAAGCTGAATCATGAAGTGATAAGACCTTTCCCTGGTAAAACATGGCACTGACTTTCAAACTTAAGGCTTTATAAAGGTAGCATTAGCATGTGAGCACAACCATAACTGGCTGTTGAAACTTGGCACTCAGGCAACCTTGATTCTGTTCCTTCTCCCCTACTGTGAGACCTTGATATCCAAAAGATTACATTTGATCTGAGGACTCATCCCTCAGCTGAAGGAATTTGACAGATGTAACTCAATTCCTGGAAACATTTGGTGGTAAGAGAAGCATTGGCCTTAGCAACAGGCCACATCCTGTCCAACTCCATAAACTCTTCAATGAGTTTCTCTTTACAATCCTCTATGGTTATGTATGTTTCACTTGTTCAACTGTTCAATCAAATGTTTTCCATTCATATCCCCATTAGGCATGTTTGCTCTAAACATCAAGCTTCTTTATCAGTTAAATTATTTTGGCTCTTTGGTGACTGCTGCAAAGTCTTCGTTGTATATATGTATATAGACAGTAATATGGACTTAAAGGTATAATGGAGGATCTTTTTTTGTGGTGGATCATCAAAATAAGTGGTCCTAATTGTCAATCATTCCGGTGATATTTTTGCGTAAGGCCGTCTTACGTGCTCGTCCCCAGTTTCACTATGTCCTCTATGTTAGACTTAACGGTCGTGAGTCTGACATTGTGAAAAAACTTCAAATCTTTTGGAAAGTAAGCTTGTATGAGTGATGCAAACAGCAACTTTTAAACATAGTGCATGAGGAGAAATGTGCTTGTGCATCCTCTCGTATGCGTTTAATAGGCGTTCAGGGTTGTGCATGCGCATTTTTTTTTTTAAAGTGGAGAGGGCAGGTATTTTTAAAAAACTTTAACATCTGGTGTCTAAAAATACTTTTAATGGTGTCATATCATTTGAAACGACGGCGGGGTAAAAAGAGCTGTTAGTCATCCTCGGTATTACGAGGAATAAGCTGTTGAATGTGTATATATCTGTGATAAACACACATGGATTTTAGATTGAAATACAGAAATTAATTAACCTTTTGATTATTTCTTGAGAATTAGATTTTGAGTTTGCAAATATCAGCTGAAACAACACTCAGTAGACTTTATACATGTGCTTAGCAGGATTTATTAGATGTCTTCTCAAAGAGGCAAGGTACAGACTTATTTCATTTTTAGCCTAATACATTAAAATAACTGAAGCAACACTGTGCTTTAAATCTTCAATGCTTACATTGATCATCTTGTGTATCTCAGAGCTAAATAAAAAATCTCAATCTTTTATTCCTCGTCTTCCAACATATTCTTTGGCTCTGTCTCGTCTCTTTCATCATCTTTGTCTGTTGCCTCTTCAGGGTCCTCTTTCTTCATCCTTCCTCTCTTGTCTTTGATTCTGTTGGCCTTGGCTTTTCTGGTCCTCCTGTCCTTTAATTTCCCGTCTCTTTGCTTTAAGAGTTTTTTCTCTGGCATCGGCCTGTTCCTGAAACCTCTTGATGTTCGTGTTGTTACTACCCTCTTTGATTTTCTTCTTTTGATCTCTTCATCATCATCCTCTTCTTCGTCTTCATCATCAAGGTCTGGCAGCCACCAAAAAATGACTTCCCACAGAGACATCTCAGGCTTTAAGGAAATAGGAAGTATGTAGCTTAGATGAGCCTATAAAGTCACGATGATGAAAAACACTCAATGCTTGATTGTAAAACCTGTAACAGAGACTAGTTTACTTCTGGCAGATGTCCTCTGTGACGTAACATCCTTGGTCGCCTCACTGTCAGCCCAGCTTCTTCCAATTCTTCTATTGTTCCCTGGCCACGTAAAGTTTCTGTAGCATTTCAAAGAATACACCTTTTATTTTTTTTATCCTACAATTCAGTGACATAATCAATGTTTCTATACACTTGTGATTAAAATCTTGAAGTCCAAGGAAAAGAGTATTCATATTTTGTGCTGATGGATCATAACCTGGTTGTGAAAATACATTAAACACCTGAGAAGAAGTAAGAGGAAGATGTAAACAGAGTAAAAGTAAATATCGGAATACGCTAATAAAAAGCTATGAAAGTTTGCAAAACCTCTAGCAAACTTCATCAGTTGGACTTTGGTAGCTGTATTAAAAGATATGTGGCAATTAGGACAAAAAACATTGAGTGGTAGACCCTGAAAAGGTGTCACCTGTGCTGAGCCAAATGTGCTGACAGGCTGTCTGTGATGAAACAAGCATATCTTTTACTCTAATTTAGGCCCTTAATGAGGCTGGCTGCAGCCCATTGATCATATGTATGCAAAGTCATAAGGACTTAAACAAGTAAAGAAGTTCTTCAAAGGCTGTCTTCTCCCATAATTCAGTCTTATCCTTTGACAATGAGTCATATGCCCTACTCCACTGCTTCCTGAAGACTTAGACACTTTGAATCTTGTATACACAGTGTATACAAATTAAAATATCAATGCATACAGCTTTCAACAGTGAATGAGCAGCTTACAGCAGTGAAATTATTAGCTATTTATAAAGTGCAGCAGTGAACAAGAATGTAGACAGTGTAGGAGAAAGGGAAAACCAGGTTAAAGTCATGGTGCAAAAAGCATTGATATGGAAAGGTTCAGGGCAGTGTAAATAAATATGGTTCAAAATGCAGTAGAACCAGGGGAGGATTTACCATTAGCCAATACTAGGCACTTGCCTAGGGCCCCAAGTTCCTGAGGGCCCCATAAAACCTTGATTGTATGGTTAATACAACTGTTCCTTATTTGTTCACATTAATTATGTTTTTGGTAAAAATCCTTGTGCTAAAATGCCATCACGATGCTTATAATATTAGTCCATTTGCTGAACAGGTTCAAAAAGGTCCAAAAAGACAACAGCAAACCATTTGAAAACAAACAATACATAGAACAGTGTTGCAGGCTTTGTGCTTTTCAGACCCCTCTCGCACTTTCAAAAAATGGAATCTAATCTAAAAGTTGCCAGATCTACCTGCTTTTTCCTGCTTCTGGTGACTTTGGCATCCAGATATAAAAGCACCAAACTCTGCTCTCCAGGACAAGTAGATTTACAACCCCACCTCCTGCTCTCCTCTCTCTTGCCTGCTGTCATGATTAATGCAGCTATTATTTCATTTTAATGAAAAATGGAGATCGTGGCTTGTCTACAGTGACGAGAAGGACTGTGTTATTTACTTTTGCCGTTGCCTTTTTGGAAACACAGGCAGGAGCAATCAGCTAACTGAGCTTAGTACTTGGAAAAAATCTTTTATTCTTTTTGAGAGCATGAAAAGCCAGCAGAATTCAAAACATAGAGGAAAACAACAAGAAGAGAACAAATAATGTATTTCTGTATCTATAAAATGGGTCTGTTTTATGTGTTGTCTTCTCAATTCAGAGGGTTCCCTTCCTGTCTTCGCCTAGGGCCCCAAATTTCCTTACTCCGCCTCTGAGTAGAGCATTGGGTTGTGTTCTATTTTAAGGGATCATGAAAAAAATCAGCCAGTGCTAATGCAGAACTGCAGGCAGCTCCTTTTTCTTTAATAACTGGAAAAACTGATTATGTGTGACCTCAGTTACCATAACGAGAATGGCCAGATAAAACTTGTTTAATCAGTTTTTCCAGTAATGAAAGACAGGAAACAAAGGAAGGATGGGATTTGGACATATAGACCATTGCAAGGGAGTCTTACATGTAATCAGGGAAAACTTTCCTGATGCCTTCCAAAACGAAACAGTACTCAGTTCCGAGCTGTTCCACTGTTGGTTCCCTGCTTGGGTTACTATTACCATGCTTTCAAACTGTAGATCAAAAAATGGACAGCCATGTTGTTTTCAGTAAAATTTCTGCTTGTTTCATTTAATCTCTTGCTCTTATTGTCTGCTGTTTGAATTTCAAACCTTAACATAAAGCCTGGTTACGATCCAGCAGCAAAAAAGGTGAATACCTCTTTTTTCTTGCCTTTTCGATATCGATCAGAGTTGTGTCCATAATCCTGCATTAATGTTTTAGTGTACTTGCCGTTAAGTCTCTGAAAGCCTGACGTGAGCACCAGAATGGTGATGGCTACAAAAAGACAGCGGTTGAGAGTGATATTCTCCCAGGGCGTCGCTACCTGAGTCAGGTTTATAGTAGGCAAGGGTTTTTCCAGGGACGCTGAAAGAAAAGATTTGAATACTTAACTTAAAAGTTTAAAGATCTTAAGAGAAAGGATAGGAGTGACTTACAAGGTTTGGCGAAGCTGGGTTCCCTGGGCAAGGTCTTAGGTTCTGATCTCGGTTGTTGAGGAACAGGAGCTACTTCCTGTCAGGGAACAACTCAATAATAAAGAATATCAGAATAAACAATTTTTGGACATGTTGCTTGTTCCAAAGCTCACCTCTCTGATTTTTCTTGACGCGAAAATTTCTGAAAAATACAAATAAAAAAACAATACATTTATATAAACATTATGGTATGAGTTAGATTATTGAAAAATGGAAATAAAATAAATATTTAAGCATACAACAATTTTATATTAATTTAACTTAAATTTTATTAAAAAAGAAATCATTAATTAAGAAGGTAAATTTAAAAGTGATGTAAAATTACAGAGTTTATTAATGCAAACATGCAGCATGAAACGGTAAAAGCAATTTTGCTTTATTTCTGAAGTGACACTATCTGATTTATTTGACTGAATTCAGGACTTTCATCATGTTTTTCCAACCCTTTTAAAAGCACTTAGTGAATTTAGGGTTGGTTTTCCTTTCCAAATACTTTTTTTTTAACTTTATAATTTTGTTTGATGACATTAATCAACTCTTAATTCATGATTATGAAATAGTCCCAGTATATTATTCTGGATACACCCCTTTGAAAATAAAATTCATTTACACAAACTCAATAATGCAACCCATTATTGCAACCCATTAATGTTAGGTCTGTTTTTTTGTGTAAATTGTCATGCAGACATACTGTATTAGTTGAACCTAAGATAGTGAATAATCTTAGTGCCATTATGTAGAACAAAGCTGTAAAATATGGAGGCATCAGAGATTCAGAGTGTGCGTTTTTGCTCTTGCCTCCACTTGTTTTGCGGATCTGTCGAACAGGTCTCTGTGGAGGATCGTCTGCCCTCGGTGGCCATAACTCCTCCTCAAATGTCTCATAGCTCTCTTCCATCCCTCCCCCTGAGAGAAAGTGAGAGACAGAAGTGGCATAAATCATGTCTTTATCACAATAATCCATCAAATCTCAGGCGTACATGTTTAACAAGATCGCAATCAGACACCAGTTTAGTTTGATGCCTTCATTTCAAAAGATCATGTTATTTATCTTGATATCTTCACTTTTACTTTCACAAAAAAATTTGGAATAAATTAGCATTCAGTTCGGCTGCATAGGCTGTCAACAAAGAAAAAGGTTAACATCTCTGCCTTGTGGGAAAAAACTGATTTTTTTTCTCCCCCTTCACATTTAAGGATGAAAAGTGTATGGCCTTCCTCTCCTACATGACATTTCTACATGGACACTGAGCTAATGTCCTTGTAGCCCTATAAATAGATGGAGCAACGCACGCCGTAAAAGACATTTAGATTAACGATGTAAAAATACATGGAAAGATCAAGTCGGATGTAAAAGTTCAACGCTGTTAGATTCAATATGTGACGACCGCCTCACAGAAATAAAGGACCTACCTGCCTTTACATTCAGTTTCCTTTGTTGGTGTCGAAGGACCTTTGTCACTGGGCTGTTGTTCCTCCACAGAGTGTTTGGGCTGTGTGACAGCCAAGCACAGGTGCAGGAGAATAAAAAAACAAAAAGTGTTGATAGAAGCTAGCTAGAATTTACCATGCCTCATATAGCTGTTAGATATGATTCTGCAAAATAAGAACAGAGACAAATATACTGCCAAGGAAAAAATGCAAAAATATTATTATTTGCCAACAAGAACTTTGCTCACTGAAGCAGTTATATCGCTTCCTCAGCCTTTATGCTTGGGAATTTGTTTAATTACCAGCAGTGTGTTAGGGGAGGACTTTACAACCCTCATAATCCAAAAAGCTATTTTTACCCACATTTAAAATACAGTGTATCTAGAACTTCAAAACCTAGTTGACCTTTTAACCTTCAAACTGTAATGTTAGAGTACCTATGTAATAGTATTTCTGTAACTATTGTCCTTAGGTTATCACTTTTCATACCTAAATTTCTGACTGCAATCTTCTGAATTTGGAAACCTTTTATCCAGTTTGTTAACTTATTAATTAAATATGATAATAAATTATATTGTATTTGTGTCGGTCAGACTTTAAATGAGGAAACTGAAACGATACAACAAATGTGTATGAAAGAGTAGGATAAGAGGTCACAATGTAAAATAGAGGAAAGAGAGGAAAGGAACCTAGAATATTTTCATAATTTTGTTTTCTTGTTTTATAATCAAACAGAACTGTACATTACACTTAAATTTCTAATCTGAAATATATGTATAAGTAAAGCACTTATTGCTTTATCCAAATAACATAAAACAACTGAACAAAAGATGTTTTTTGTATGAATCATCTGTTTTGTGAATTTTATTCAGATTTTCCATGAAAACATCAAGAGTAGCTTCTGAAATCTGTCTTTCCTGTTGTGTTTGAATAAGGAGCCACCATGGGCTCTGAAATTATCCACCATTAACTGGAAAAGCCCATGACCTGCAGCCTACAGACCTCTGGTCTAAAAATGATTTTGCTGTCATGTAGAGAATTTAACAGCAGAGAGCGCCACTCTACTACCAGACAACAAGATGAGGTCACTTTGCTTTTACATGTCTGGCATTGGTAACATTAGATCTGTGACAAAAGGAGTCAGACAATTTAAATTAAAGATTTATGCATCCATTTTTAAAAACCTTTTTACCAACAGAAGATGGTAAAAACTTTCTAATATTTCTCAAAGATTTTTCCCACCTGTTTGTTTTGTGTAGGTTTAAGGGAATAAGCTTGTAGGATGCTAGCACAACATTACCAAATGTAGCTATGACTGGGTTTGATCTGGGTTTGGTGGTTTGGGGCCATCTGTATGTGGGACAGCAGTGAAAGTGTTGGTAAACAGGAGGCTTGTGGCAATGTTTTTCTTTGTGACTCATGCATCTCCTGGCTCCCAGTTCCAGATGAATCACACATTGTTTTATCCATCCGTAATCCTAACTTGACAGTATCTTTGCAACCTTTGATGTGTGTAAAAGGATCATACAATGGAACAAATAAAGCCAAATCTGAAACATATGACTCACCTACTAGCCTATAGTAACCAGTCTAATGCAGTGTGGAAATTTTAGTTAGTATTAAGTCAGTTTAGCATTTTTATATTAATAAACTAGAAAAGCACTTGGAGATGGCAGACCTCCACCAAGCAGCAAATTTTGCCCCATATGGTGACCTACACCAATAGCTAAACATTTAATATCTGGATCATGACTTTTTGGAGTTGCTGAAGCTATAAATAGTCACTACTGCCACTCTCTGGTTTTGTGGGGAACCGATTATTTCCACCATAAATCCCTTTCTCACAATGTTAAATAATCCATTAAAAAATCCTATATCCAGATTATAATCTGGATCCTTGCCAAAATGTAATGCATTCTTCATAATATTTTTTAACATCTCATCATATCTTTTCAAGTTACCCTGACAGACTCTCCTAGAACTAAAAACATAACCTCCTTGGTGGAGGTAAAAGTTTTTACAAAATGTGTCATCCAAAAATATGTCTCAAATTAATAGAGCTATATTAAGGGATAAGTCCAGTCAGCAAGGAACACTCAATGCATCATTTTCTATGCCTAAAACTAATATGTTTGTGGTGATTGAATGTATTTTGTGTTAATCAGTAAAAAAAAAAAAATAATTAACAACAATTTTTTTCACTTACTCAAATTCTTTGTGAAATTGTTTTACTACAGTAGCTTGATTAGGCACACTCATTGTTATTTCATTTTAAGCCTTTATTCATTTTTTAAAGATTTTTTATAATAAAATAATGTGATATTTCTTCAATAGCTTCGAGGTCATGTGACCCACGAACCTATAACTTCCACCTATTTCCTTATCTGTCAACAGTCTAGTCATTCTTTTAGTTAGCTTAACACGGGTTATTGAAGCTTTTTTCTGGTTAGCTTTGCCCCACCACTGCCACCCTCCCTCTAAACCAGGGGTCTTCAACGTTTTCCAGGCCAAGGACCCCCAAACTTATGGTGAGATGGAGCGGAGACCCCCTAATTATATATATTGTATGAAATTGTGTTATATCAAACTGGTCCTATAGTCACTCTATTAAAGATGGATTCATGTAACAAAAGTAATTGCGCCCTGCGATTATCAAAGAATTTCTGATTCTGATTCCTTGTTGATGGTACAGGGGTTGTGAATGAAATGGTGCCCAGCTTGAAGGAGCTCCTGTGTGTCGCTGAAAGTGTGCATTGATCATGAGGAGTGCAATATGCTGATGAAGGTTCTCAGTCATCCAGGTCTTTTTTGAATTTTTACGGATTGATCATGAGCGGGTTCTAGACAGGGGCCAACAGGGGACAGTGCCCCTGTTATGGCTGCTGAACTAAAGACATAATACTCAAAGAAATTCTAATGATGATATTTGCTGAAACAGACATGGTTACTGATAGGTCCTTTGGATCTATTTCATTTTTTTTCTTTACAAATTTTGCGTTACTAATTATTTAAAAACAATAAGGTGATACCTTCAGTAGTATTAAGATAGGATCCCAGTTTTCCTCTTATAAATTATTTTTTATCAAACCAAATTTCACTAATTTTGACACCTGAATTTATCAGTTTTTCTTGAGTTCTAATTCAGAATTTTATAGAATTTTTACTTAAATTAAGTCAAAAATATGTAAAATTCCAAAGTTATGAATGTATATTGACCTAATAAGAAATGTAATTTTAATTAAACCTAATTGAATAGAAATTTCACTTCATTCAGCTATCTTATTATATTTAAATCCCTTGCCCTGTTTCTTTATTTCACACTTTTCTGGGCCATAAAAAACACTCTTGCCCCCTCCTGGCCCCCTGGAACATTTATTCTAGAACCGTCACTGGCATTGATGACTGAAAGACATCTACTGCCTCCATTTGTCTGTTTACTACAGTGTGTTGAATTAATGTTGATGTGTATTTAAAGACATTTCAATATGTGGAAAAAATTGCCAAGGGGGTACCGGTATACAAAAAAAGAAAAAGTTAATCAAGCCAAACTTTCGTGACCCCCATGCAGTACCTCCGCGGACCCATTAAGGGTCACGGACACCCTGTTGAAGACCTCTGCTCTAAACACTAAGCATACTCTCTCGATACGAAAACTTCCTCCTATTAGCGTCCTCAAGCTAACTTCCTTGTTTTCAGAAGCAGTTCTTGCAGTCT